AAAATTAACATTATGCATGTCAGAGTTAGAAGGTCAGTGAAAAAGAGAACGCCCACCCCCCATGAGATGGACTGACACAGTGAAAACAACAATGGGCTACAACATAACAATTATGAGGATGACCTCGGACTGGGAACTGTTTCTTTCTGTTGTGCATAGGGTTGCTATGCACATAGGGAACCTATCAACAACAACGCGTAGTCTGTGACTTTGTATAGTCAATATGCAGGTAAACATCTAATTCTACAGAGAAGTTGACAATGTCTAAGTAGGTCCTTGAAATCAGAACAGTAGTTTACCAGCAAAAAAATCAATAAAATATGCCTAACAGTTGACAGTTATATGCAATGTTCAGTATCTGGGAGGAGAATATAGCACAGTATTTTATTACTTTAACAAATTTTATTTGACAGCATTGTGGAGACAGATAATATAGGGAGGTGTCAGTTATCTCTGGGGAGATAGCAAACTTAATGATATAATCAGTAATGCTACACCAAGTGTTCTAAATAGCCCAAATCATGTAGGGATTTGGCAAAAGCTGATGAAGCTCTTGAGATGGAGGTACATTTTTAGGTCACCTTCTAAAGTTAGTAATCTCGCCTCTTAAGGAAACTTCGTATCACAAGATATTACTTCATCTTTCCCCATCTAAAGAAAATTATTTGAATTTAAAAAATATTTTCTACTTAAATAATATTATAGACAATAATTATATAATCCCATAAAGTTTATTTGTTGTTGTCAAGTGCTGTCTCGTCAGTTCTGACCCATAGCAACCCTGTGTAGGAGTGACCAATGAGCTCAAACCACAGACCTTGTGGTTCAAACTGTGTTGCAGTCCAGTGCATTAGTCCACAGCATCACACCAGAACTCCATAAAGTTTATAGCAGTGCTTTATTTAACATAATTGAGAATGAGAAGAAGACAGTATATTCATAAGATATTAAAACTACAATTTATTTGGTAGATTTTAAAAGTCATTTGAAAAAAATTAAATACTAATTCTGAGTTAATTTTTTTTTCTTTCTTTTGAACATTCCTTTTATGAGACAAATTGTTGGTTTTGGAATAATGTTATTAACACAGTGAGATTTTATACTTTGTTTTCTCAGAGTAGTTGTTGATACAACAAGTAGTGCTTGTTGTTGTTGTTAAGTGCCACTGAGTC